GGAAGGAAGGAAGGAAGGAAGGAAGGAAGGAAGGAAGGAAGGAAGGAAGGAAGGAAGGAAGGAAGGGGAAGGGGGAAAGGGAGGGGGGAGGAAGGAAGGAAGGAAGGAAGGAAGGAAGGAAGGAAGGAAGGAAGGAAGGAAGGAAGCAAGCATTCTGGTCATTCCATCCAGTGGTGTCCATTCACAAATAGGTATATTGTTGTGCCATCACAAAGAATAAATGTGTACCACTCATGATTTATTTCTATGAAGTAGTCGGTCTTAGATATCCTGCCACTAGCAGAATGTAAGAAATGATGCCCTCTGTAGAAATATGGCAATCCCAAGATCTTTAAGGTCCTCTGGAGGAATCTGGATATGATGCCTTCCATGTAGTCCAATGAGTCTTACCTTCACCATGACAAAAATCCTGTGGGATTCACTGTACTGGAAAGCAAACCATGAACGTCTTTTTCATGCAGATTTACAACCTCAAACTCTTTTCTCCACTACAGATTCCCAAATACATACAGGATTCTTGACTACATAAAACTAGTTGAGTGTTTCTTTATCGATTTGTCCTTCTTCAAGATGGGAAGATGATGCCGTGTTGAAAAAGGCCCCAGCTTGAAAACAAGATACCTCTCCAGAAGAACTTCAGAATGGCCCACAATTGAATAATAAGGAACAACACAAAGAAACAGATGAACCAAAATAAATCAGGAGAACTAAAAAGCTGTATACACGGGTGAACATCTCCTTAAATTTTAAATTATAAAATCATTAACTATAATGTTCAAGCCAATGCCTGAATTCCATTGGACTATACATGAGGATGTGCTCTAATGGTTCTGCAAGGGGTATACATAGGGATAGTTTTCATTGCTTTAGTTAGTGCACACTTCTGCAAATTATTTCTCTTCATAGCATGAATTTCCTGAGAATGGACACTTACTGTTTTTCCCACCTACCTGCAAAACATTTATTACATTGAATCAGAATAACAGATTAACTGAATAACAGAATTGGAAGGGACCTTGGAGGTCTTCTAGTCTAACTCCCTGCTCAAACAGGAGACCCTATTCCAGTTCAGACAAGTGGCTGTCTTTTTAAAAGTCTCCAGTGATGGGTGGAGCACCCACAACTTCTGAAGGCAAGCTGTTCCACCCATTAATGGAAGAGTCTACAAACTTGGCCCTTTTATGACTTGTGGACTTCAACTCCCAGAATTCCTCAGCCAGGCACGCTGGTTGAGGAATTCTGGGAGTTGAAGTCCACAAGTCATAAAAGGGCCAAGTTTGAAGACCTCTGCATTAATTGTTCTAACCGTCAGGTAATTTCTCCTTAGGTCTAGGTTGCTTTTCTCCTTGATTGGTTTCCATCCTCTGTTTCTTGTCTTCCCTTCTGGTGCTTTGGAAATAGGTTGGTTCTCTCCCCCCACACACACCCCTTCTTTGTGGCAGCCCCTCAAATATTGGAACACTGCTATCATGTCATATCAGATTCTTTGAGACCTAGCACAATACTTTCAAGCATAATAATAATAATAATACTGGAGACAGCAGAATAGACGAGAAAGAACTGGAGAAGATAAGAAAATACAAAGACCTACAAATAGAAATAGAAAGACTGTGGCAAAAGCAAGCAAGGGTAGTACCAATAGTCATAGGCGCCTTAGGTGCAATCCCAAAACAACTGGAGCACCACTTGAACACCATTGGCATTGACAAATTCGCTAAAGGCGGCCTTATTAGGAACTGCTTCCATCCTGCGACGATATCTGTAATACCATCAAACATCCACATCTGCCTATCCCAGGTCCTGGGTAAGGACTCGATGGGTGGACAAAATGCCAAATCCAGTCTGAACATCTGGCTGACTGTGCGATGATCCATAATAATAATAATAACAATAATAATAATAATAATAATAATAATAATAATGATGATGATGATGATGATGATGATGATGATGATGATGATGATGTTGGAAGGGACCTCGGAGGTCATCTAGTCCACCCCCCTGCTCAGGTAGGAAACCCTATACCATTTCAGACAAATGGCTGTCCAGTCTCTTCTTAAAAACTTCCAGTGTTGGAGCATTCACCGCTTCTGGAGGCTCATGAAATCTTTCCATCACATTTTAAACACTGCTTTCGCTTATTATACTTCTAACAAGATGCAATCCCAAAGATCTCCTGTTACAGTTGACGTGCTCCTGAGCTCTTGCAGACTTCCGTATGCTTTAGTAGTTTAGTTGGAAGAGCAGAAGGGGAAAGTTCCAGTGTTTTCCTACTGAGGCCAGGCTTCTGAAAATAACAGGAATTGTGGGTCCAAGCAAGCTTCACTGTTAATCACTCCCTAATGCCTGGTGATTTGATGCCTCCGAAAAGTCCCTCGGGCTGATCTGCATGTCTCAGATGCAGCAGATGCAACGGGAGGAAAAGAGTCCTTCCTTTCCACATGGCTGAATTCCTGTCAGGATGGAAACCAAAGGCTTATTGAGAGATAGACAGGATTTGCCCAGAAGTGTTTGGGTGTCAGAGAAACTGTGTCAACTCCTTGGATGGAAGCAAAAGGGCGATATCTGGGTATAAACCAAGGCCAAGATCAGATTTCATTAAAGTCCGCAGAAAGCTCTTGATGCCTTTAATTGGATTTAGATCTGGTTTTTGGCTCACTCCCCAATTACAGCTGGTCTTTTTTTCCCCCTTTTCTTAATGAATCCAAATGCTTGCCAGGAGAATGTTAAGATGTGCAAGGCCTAGGAGAGACCACAAGCAACTTTTCAGAAAAAAGTTAAGGATTTCTTTTCAAGAAGGAAATAGCCTCTTTCCTCTTTAAATCAGCATTCTGCATTGACTGGTGGGAAGCATTACTTTTTTTCTGGTTCCATGGAGTGACATATGCACCGAAAGGACCATAGCAGATATACTTATGGCATTCAAAGGAGGGAACACAGAGACAAAACTTCTGTTTCACTAGATGAGGTGACCTAAAATATTTTCTCCACACACTGACAGTACAGAGAAAGCTAGCTTGTAGGGAAACTAGTCCATTGTTTTCTTTCCTGGTCTTTTGGTTTTTATACAGACAAACAGTGTATTTTTCTTCTTCTGATAGTAGATGTTTATTATGACAATTGGTATTAGAACCTTTCCCCAATGCACTTTTTATCATGTAAACCAGGGGTCTTCAAACATGGCCCTTTTATGACTTGTGGACTTCAACTCCCAGAATTCCTCAGCCAACCTCCATTTTGTTTGTTAGATTTAAAACAAGGGTCTTCAAACTTGGCCCTTTTATGACTTGTGGACTTCAACTCCCAGAATTCTTCAGCCAGCCTCCATTTTGTTTGTTAGATTTAAGACAGGGGTCTTCAAACTTGGCCCTTTTATGACTTGTGGACTTCAATTCCCAGAATTCCTCAGTCAGCGTGCCTGGCTGAGGAATCCTGAGGGTTGAAGTCCACAAGTCATCAAAGGGCCACGTTTGAAGACCCCTGCTCTAGCACCTAAATGCATCTCTCCTTGAAATCCCTTCTCAAAGTTGTATTTATCCATGAGAGATTAACAATTGCAATTTATCATTAATGTTGTCACCTTACTAATAGTTAACAATGATGAAGACTTCTATTCTAAATAGAAAGTCTATTCTAAAATAGGCTTTTTGTATTTTATTTGACCCCAGGGTACCTGTAATCTATTTCTAGGTATATGAACAAATACAGGAATTTTATAGGAAATAAAAGTGTTTTTTCTTAATAGTCTGGAAGTTAAGTTGTGGCCACTGGATTAGTTTGCATTCTTGGTTTGAAACTTTTGGCTGCTTATCCAAGTAGCTTCTTTGGTCTTCAATCTGCTTAATGGTTTTTAGAGAAGTTCACACTTCAAAAATATTAGATATTTCAAGGTTCATGTTAACTCCAGCATCAATCTGCTCTTCATTAAGAATTAAGTTAATAAGAATGCCATGTCTTTAAGAAATCCATTCCCTCAAGTAATTATGTAGCTTTATTGGACATAAAATTTAACTTGTTTAAATAATATTTTTTAAAAAAATCCTCAAACTGATCCATAACTGCAACAGTCTGCATCCCCATAATCTTCTAGGAATACTTAACTATTATCTCCATTATCTTTGACTGGCATTAAGTTACTTGGAATTAAATTTAAACTCGACTGGGACTGTTTTGTACCTGTTATTTACTGCTAAATTTTAATTATATCCTTGTTTGGCTAACAGTGACTGTTTCATTGGATTTTTGGACAACAACATGCTGTGTATTTAGGTAAGGGAAAGGCCTAACGTGCGGTAATTTAGGAAGGAAAATTGTAAAATTGAAGACTGGAATATCACTATTAGCAGCACTTATACTCCAGGTCGCCTAGAGCTTCTAGCCTATCGTAATAAAGACAAAGAGGTAGAAAGCAATTGGCCTTAAAAAGTATGTCTGTAAACCAATTACTTTCCCTTTGTTACCCACTGTTCCCTTTCAAAGGTGGATTAAGACTCAGCCCAGTCTTGCTTTTCGTTCTACTTTTAAAGATTGCTGTCACTCATACATGTTATACATTATCCTAACCTTTCTCCAGCAATATTCTCAATCTTTGCCAATTTCAACTGGCTGTACTACAGTGATTTTTTTGGTGTGTGTGTGTGTGTGTGTGTGTGTGTGTTGTGCATGTCAAGAGTCAGGGAAATCAGGAGATGCAGCCAGTTCAAATGAGTATAAAGATTTATTGCAAGTTTAAGCTCTCTACAAGAATCTGAGCAACTAGCGGTCAAGGGAAATGAGTGGGAGATAAGAAAGACATTCAAGATGGGCTGGATTCAAATCTCTTGTGGGAACACAGGGATTCTTCCTCGGGCTCAGCCTGGTCATCTCCTACTGTACAGGGAAGTGGGAGAGATCTAGGGGAGGGACAGCAGACAATTGACAATAGTGGGAATATTACTTTCTTGTTGTTCTTTTTTCCCCCATCAGTGAGTTAATAAGGCTAAAAACTCCCACAAGACAAATCAGGAATTCAGAACATTTATTGCAAGAGCTGAATAACTGTAAATAACGTTGAACTGGCAAAGCAGTAACAAGGAAAACTGTTTAGATATTTATTCAGTCAAAGTCATCAAACACCCCTCACAAACGGACGTAAGTACCGTAATAAGCAATGCACCCCTAGCCCATTATATGCTTTTATACTGTGGAGGGAAAGAAAATGAGAACTGCTATATACAACACAACTTCAGTTAGTTTTAATTTTTTTTTGTCATCGCTGTTGTTGGTAAAAAGAAATTAACCACTGATATTTTCAACTTTTATTGTCTGAGTTTATTTGAAGACTAATGTTTAACTGTGGCACAAGATATTTTTTACTTTTTTTTCCCCTTTAAGGACGATTTCTCCCCTACGTTGCATGCTATTTGTTTAATTTTTTTTTTTGTCATGCCTTAAGAAAACAAAAAGCCTAAGATTGTTGATTAGGATTTGTTAGACATGCAACTGAGATCTTATTACATTAGAGTCACTTTGCTGGTTCCTTTTCAAGTGACCGTGAAACTGGTTATCTGCCAGGCATTGACCAACGATGAGAACAAACAGTTAAACAGCAAGAATCAGAAACTTACCTCTGTCATTTTTCCCCCAACTATCCTACCAGGATAATGCTTGGTTACATTATGAAGGCACAACACATTAAATATTTTGTGGCTATGATCTAAAAACACTTGTGTTACTACAACATCAAGGCAGATGATGATCAACACAACTGGTGCCATTTCAGCAATAGGAACTGTCCTAAGTAAAAACACATTTCACCAAAGTATAAAGGAAGCAACTGCTAGAGATTAGTGCTGAGTGACACAATTACTTTGGAAGTTTGACTGGCCAAGCTCCATTGAGATACATCAGTTCTTGAATACCTCTCCCTAATTTCATTGGGACTCACTCAGCCAACCATCTTGATAGACGGTGTCCACAGCAAATAACCCTCCACTTAATTTTGATTAACATCATATTTTCATGTGAGTATGCAGCCAACACCCTGCAGATTTGCTGTCAACGTCACCCGTCCAGCTGCTAGTTGGTGAGCCCTGTTGTTCCTCTTTGATTTCAGATCAGAATATTAAGAAAAAAAATGATAATTGTGGCTAAAATTTCAAAGTGCATTTATAGTTTAGAACTAGCAGATAGAATTTTCTTTTCTAATTAGGAAAAAAAAAGTGAAATTAAAATGCCCATCCACCCCATCCCCTCATTTGCTCTGTTTTTAACACAAGTGTTTTGAGTTCCTTGGAACATGGTGTGTCAGACAGATCATTTAACACGAAACACCATCACCAAAACAAACATTTTTCTTTTCTTTTAAAGAAAAGGAAGGAATGAAATAAAGTAGGGGGAAAAAAAGTAATTGTGAAACACAGAATTAGGCTACAGTATTTTTAGGTGAACGTTATAAGTACACAAAAGTTATTAGTAATAATTTGTTCTATTTACAAGTACTTGAACACTGATTGACTTAACAAGTGTCCACTAACGTTGTTAATAGCACAGTAGGTTTAATGTTTGCAGTTTTAGTTGTTTTGTTTCAGTAAAGATGTCAAGTATAGCAGTCCCAGCACGGGTTCAATGGCGACAATAACACAATTTTCTAATTGGATATACTTTCTAAGAATTGCAATTCATTTCTCTCTCTCTTTTTCTCTCTTTCTCTCTCTCTCTCTCTCTCTCTCTCACTCACACAGACACGCACGCCGTATTTCCTGTTCCTCTCATTCTTCCAATATATTTTTCTACTGTTTACAGCAGCAGTCCAGGGTAAAAATAAAAAATATCTTTTTAAAAAAAACAAAACAAAACAAAACAAGCTAATTAACAGCTCCACCCCCTTATTCCCAATAAATTGAAAGAAAGAAAGAAAGAAAGAAAGAAAGAAAGAAAGAAAGAAAGAAAGAAAGAAAGAAAGAAAGAAAGAAAGAAAAAAAACCCAGGATATTTGCCAAATGGAGAGAATCTCTGTAAGAGTTTGATTATGTCTATGTAACAAAACCACACAACTAGTAGAAATGCTGTTGCTTTGTAATTCAATGGAGCTATCCCACAGTTATGCATATCTCAGCTATGTGACGCATAGTTCTAGAGGTCTACCCAGTACATAAAGCTCTGACACATACACACACACAGTATTAGCAAGTCTAACTAGGCTAAAGTCCCTGCTCCAAAGAAACCATTCCTTATAGCTGGTTTTCCTTCGGACTCTCCACGGCTCCTGTTGCATGTTTATAGGACTTCAAGTTAGCCAATGGAATGTCTGTCATGTGATTGCCAGGGTTGAAATGCCCTTCCCCAGAGCCAAATTGCTTTCGGTCATTGAACTGGTTTCTGTTGCTATCTTCTTTCCAGGTCCTGCTCAATGTATGTCCATTCACCAGTTTGTCTTTCTTCACCCATTCCTTCGGAGGTGCAAAGGTGGAGAGTGGAGACTTGGGCTGGGGGTATGAACCCAAGGTAGGGGGCATCCAACAATTGTCTGAATGGCCCAGCACAAGACATTCTTGGGTACACATTTCTGTAGCTTCAGCCAGTCCTCGTGGTCCAAGAGGTCCATCTGCAAAGAGGTGTGGGCGGGGCAAAGGGAAGAGAAGGAATGGGGGCAGGAGAAAAAAAAAGAAAGAAGTTAGAGTTTGAAACAATCTCACATTTAGACACACCAAAAGAATCACAAGCACGGCAATAGCACGGTAATAACAATCCAGTTCAATGGTTCACCTGTGTATTTAAAAGAAAATAAAAACAAAAAACGAAGCAAGGAATGGGGTGCATAAAAGAGGAACAATCTTCAGTGCTTCTTGTTGTAAAAAGCCAAGTTCTTCTCTCAAGCACACATTACACAAAAATCCTTGCTGATTTCTGGATGAGTGCTTAGAAAAATAATTCCTGATGCTAAAAGCAATGCACTAATGGAGCCAATTATCAAGGGAGATTGTGAACTCAATGGCTGATTATATTCCAACAGAGCCTTCTTCCAGAGATGCATTAATGTTTGCACCACATTTGTGTGTCTGCGTTTGTGTGTCTGTGTGTGTTTGTGTATTGAACTTGATGGCCCAAATACAGGCTTCCCACTAGGGATGCCACGATGCAGTGCAAAATCCCTAACTTTGCATAAACTTGCTTTGCTTAAGATGCGCAAAGCAAAGCGACGTTCTTCCAGAATGTTATTTTCTCTCTCTCTCTCTCTCTCTCTCTCTCTCTCAATGGACTGGTTTATCTCTTTACAGAAGTATGCAATAATCCTGAAGAGGAAGCAGTCCAGACTGCAGAAGAGTTAACCCGGAATGCTTAAGCAGACCCAGTCTGGAGAAAGAAAGGAATGTTTCTAGTGAAAAATGAAACACAAAAAAACAAAACAAAACAAAACAAAAAATGGAAAACTGCCTGGAATGTGATTGGAACATTTTACTCTGCTAGCTACTGTAGAAATTGTCAAAAGAATAATGTGTAAATATGAAGAGCTAATCTGAGAAAGAGTGTGCTGGTTAATGCAGAAAGGGAGAGAGCAGAGGAAGACAAGGGCAGTTAATTATCTTTTACTTTTTTTTTTTTTACAGTTTCTCAAAATCAAAATTGCAGTCACTTCAGTGGAGTATCGTGCAAAATTATTTGTTATGCTTTCAGAAACTCTAGTGGAAATACTAGCCTAGCCAAAGAACCGTCGTGATCCGTTTCCATAGGGACAAACTTCATGCTCTTTTTCTGCATATTTCTCAATGGAGTGAAACTGCAGATGAGTTATTGATTTAACCAGGGAAGATATGACGGGGAAGTGAAATTCATTTATCTCAAGTGATTTAGCCTTCCATTTTCCACCCCATCCACAATTTCTCATGATATTCTGAATATATGACAGCTTTAAATGGAAATGATTATCACAAGCCCCTACCCCCAAAATTCTTAACTTTCCTATTTTCTCTGAAGTAAGTTGCTTTCTTTATATAAGTGGCGCAATGGCCTAGAGGCGAAGACGGTTGCTTCCCACTCAGAAGGTTGAGAGTTCAATCCTGGGCAGCAACAGGTATTTATCAGATTGCAAAAAGAAAATATCTGCTGTGAACATCATATAGGCGTCAGGAAGGGCATCCAGCCAGTAAATGCTCAGTTCCATTCAGTGACCCTAATCTCACCCTGAAGCCAGGGATTACAGGGTAATAACAAGAAAAAAAAAGTTGCTTTCTTTATTTTATCTACAAATAACCAATTGCTGTTTGCTTAAAACCAAGTTCCTTGGAAGGAAATTACTGATTTATTGGAAGCTCCAAATTAACAAATCACCAGGAAAGCTGCACTTGAGAGATGATAATAATAATAATAATAATAATAATAATAATAATAATGCCTGAACATCTGGCTGACTGTGCAACATAACACCCCGGACTAACAACTGTCGATAAGAAAGACAAAAAAGTCTGGATAGTGGATGTGGCAGTGCCTGCAAACAGCAGAATAGACGAGAAAGAATTGGAGAAGGTAACAAAATACAAAGACCTACAAATAGAAATAGAAAGACTGTGGCAAAAGCAAGCAAGGGTAGTACCAATAGTCATAGGCGCCTTGGGTGCAATCCCAAAACAACTGGAGCACCACTTGAACACCATTGGCATTGACAAATTCGCTATTAGTCAATTGCAAAAGGCAGCCTTACTAGGAACTGCTTCCATCCTGCGACGATATCTGTAATACCATCAAACATCCACATCTGCCTATCCCAGGTCCTGGGTAAGGACTCGATAGGTAGACAAAATGCCAAATCCAGTCTAAACACCTGGCTGACTGTGCAATGATCAATAATAATAATAATAATAATAATAAAAACTATATTGTCAAGTTAATGAATTTAGCCACCCCATAAAATGACTGTACATTTTATTCCCTGCTCAATAAGCACATATATAGTCACTCAACCTCTCCTTCAAGAGCCAGGCTGGGATGGAAAAATCCAATTAATTGGAAGATGGATGCCAACGGTTAGAGTCTTCTCTCTTTGCTATCAACCAGGAATGGTCTCACAGAAGCTAGACTTGAATCAGTTTACCCTGGGAAATAGCATCGTCTGGAGCTCCATACTTATGTATTATCTACTTCGCCATGAAGCTGCAGTTTGTATTTAAACCAGCAGAATTTTACATAATTTAAGCCATTCCTGCCAGGTAGGTCACTGAAGTCCAATCCTCTCTACATCTATTAAAAGGGCGAAGGACCTGAGATTATCAGTAGCTTAGGGTTGAAATCAGAGGTCCTTAGTACTCCCTGACCTTGGTTGCTTTCTTGCAGACATTTCATGAGCCAAACTTAGGTAATATCAGTGCCAGTGCTGATGTTGTTACCTATCTAGGTAATGAAACATCTGCAAGAAAGCAATCAAGATCAGAGAGCACCAAGGAAACTCTCCCTTTCCATATTCCTAGTTTCCAGCACAGCTAACAATTAGTCATGTTTCCATGGACACATTGTTGGAAGAAAGGTCTTCATCGTGTTTCATCCAAGCTGGAGATAAACATGGCAACTGCTTTGGGAAGAAGGTTGTAGTTTATTGGAGAGAAGAGCCAGACAGGAAGATGGTTCTGGCAGCAAAGAGGAGAGAAAAAGGGCCTGAGCACATGTAAGAAGTGGGTTTTTATACCTTCTGGAGCCTTTTGTTTGAAGTTGTTCCTGTGGCATGAACTTTGACCTGAGTCTGAGTGTGCCTTTCTGGTATTCTGATGGTGATGGGTCAATCTTATTATGTCCAAAGGTCATATCCTGCTTCCCTGGGACTGATGACTCTTAGAGTTTGGATGGGGTATGTAGATTTTAGGTCTTTGTCGTCTTAATCTCCTAGCTCCCTGGATTTACATCTGCATCTCTATAGAGCTGGTTTCTGCTTGGGGAAGAGAGACCAGGGGCTATTAAGAAGAACTGGGCATGCTTTTCTGTCTCTTTAAGATCCTTGGAGGAAATATATTTTTCTGTCCTTTTATTATTTCCTTCTCTGGGGGGCTGACTTCCCACACATGAATGACTGTATCCAAAGACATCTAAAAGAGAGCTGAGATCTTGCTACGCCATATGATTAGCAACTTCTCAAGAAGTTCAGCTTCCAACACTATCTATGGTTGCCCAGCTTTTAAGTCCCCTTCTTTCCTTACAGTGGGAATGCTAATTTCTTCTTAGCACCTTCAGTACAAATAAAGCAAAGTATTGTTTACACAGGAGAAGCTTGTGAGCATGTTTTTATAGTTCACACTCTTAACTACTGAGAACTAGAAATACAGTCCTACACAACCCCGCATCTCTTCGAACACATACCCCAAAGACTTCAGCTGGAGTTACTTTCAAAGAAGCCAGTACAGGACTTGAATGTCATAGATTTTGAAGAAGTTTATATTAAAGAAGTAGTTTATTGAATGTTGCTTTGCCTCTGGAGTTTTTAATGTTGTCATTTTCCCTTCCTTCTCATTTATTTGATTCTGCGATCAGAACCCCTGAGAACACACTGGGCCTGGATTAATATAAATGAAATAAAATGCCATAAAGATATGCAAGCAGTTGCTCCCTGCGTTTTTCAAACAGCTCTGCACTTTCAAGCTTTCTATTTGTGAGCTTCAGTGGCAGAAAAACAAAAAAAAATATCCTTTATTAATCTACCCTCATTGTTATAATCAAAGTGTTACAGGTATTTCATGAAGAAAAAAAAAAGGGGGGGGGGAGAAACAGTTGGCATAAAGAACTACCTCCAGCATATTGTTAACATTTCCAAAGGTTAATCTGTAGGTTAAATGCTGATTATTTTCCTTTCTGCTGACAGCAGCAATTTGCTTTTAATTGGGTTTTTTCATTTTCTTCCCCACATAGTAATACAGAATCCTATCTTGCTGACCCAAACCAGAATGACTTGCTAAAGATTATATCTTACCTATCCAGAAATACACACACAGAGAGAGATAGAGAGACAGAAAGTGAAAGAGAGTATGTGTGTGTGGGGGGGGGGAGAGAGAGAGACAGAGACTGGCTGAGAGAGAGAGAGAGAGAGAGAGAAAGACAGAATGTGCCACTAGATAGGCATATTTCAGGAAATAGCATCAATGATAGAACATAGAATATTAGAGTTGAAACGGACCTTGGAGGTCTTCTAGTCCAACCCCCGGCTCAAGCAGGAGACTGTATACCATTTCAGATAAATCAGTGGTTCTTAAACTGGGCGATATTGCCCCCCAGGGGGCGATTTCATTTTTCAGGGGGGCGATGGAATGAAAAGAGGCAACGCAGGGGCGAAGGAATGAAAAGGGGGTGATATGGGGGCGATGGAGCGAGAAGTTTTGGGGACACTTTTGAGACTTTTTCACACAGTGAATCGCTGCATATCTGTCGTACAAAAACATCAGATTGCTCGCTATTAGTGGATTGAATTGTGTTTTCAAATGTTCCTCCAGCTAGCTTCAGTACAGAACGCCGTACATAGGTGAAGACGCATCGCTTATCTTCATGCGCATTGCGCAGCAGCCTCTACCCATACAGTGGCATGCCATTGGCCAGAATATGGGAGATATGGGAAAAAGACTGGAAATAAAT